GTATTACAAAACAAAACAAACTCCCCGCCAAAACAAAACAAAACAAAACAAAAAAACCTTTAAAGAGGGCCGGGGATTTAGCTCAGTGGTTCCGCCGCCTGCCTCGCAAACTCAAGGACCCAAGTTCGATCCCCGGTACCAAATTAAAAAAAACCTTTAAACAAAATAGCTGCAAAATGGGCATGCATTGGAATTGGGGGCTGGGAGCCTCTGAAGTCCCGGCAGCTGCTGCCCCCTGCAGGCCTGAGCCGCCCACTGCGGAAGCCGAGGAGCTGGCGCGGTGAGGCTGTGTCGGCGTCGTCCTTCTTCCAGCCCCGGCTGTCACCCTGGCTTTTAAAGTTTGTGTGCCTGTAACATTCGCTTTGGACCCAGCAGGAGCCCCGGGACTAGGCAGGTGAGGGGAGGAACTGAGGGAGACAGAGAAAACGGAGAGCGAGCCGAGAAGCGCAGACCAGCAGGCTCCTGTGGGGGCTGCCGGGGGCGCTGGGAACCGGCGGAGGAGACACCAGTCGCCGGGCGAGGCTGACCTCCACGGCCGTCCCCCGCGCCTTCTGGGGGCGTCCCGGGTTCTCCCTGCTGAGGTCTGGCTGTCATCTGTCCCCCCCCTAGGATGCATGTGTTGGGGCTCGGCCCCCAGCGAGGTGGTGTAGGGGTGGTGGGGCCTTGCAGAGGTGTCCCCATTGGGGACTCTGTCAGAAGGCATTCGGGCAACGCTCCTGGGAGCCTGACTCGGTTCCCAAGGGGTGCCCAGCGCGGGAGCGCACACCTGTCCTCCTAACAGCCGGGAGGCTGAGGCGCGAGTATCCGCGCGAGTTCGAGGCCAGCCTGGGCTCCATGGCAAGCCCGGGTCTCAAAAAATAAATAAATAAAAGAGACAGAGCGAGAGCCCCAGTTGTTATGAAAGAGTCTTGCCTTTTGTTCTGGCTTCCTGTGTCACCATGTGATCCCTTTTTCCTTCCCTTTTATTTATTTATTTTTTTACGGTGCTGGGGATTTCCCGCAGCTACTCTGACCTCACCCAGTGGCGGCAGGGCCTTTGCACATGCTGCACCCTCGCTCTGACTGGTAGACCTTCCTCTTCACCTGCCTCCCTCCCTGGAGCCTCCCTCCCTGGAGCACGTATCATCAGCGGACCCTTCCCAGCCAGGGGTGACTCCTGCCCTCCATGGCTCCCTATGGGTCACTGGGATTGATTTTCAACCATGGTTCCCAGCTCATATCTCCCTTCCCAAGGCAGGCCAGAAAAAACTAGAATTTCTCTTCCCCCAGGCAGATCGTAAGAATTCTAATCTTCCCGTCTTTAACTGGTCAGAAAGAAATTCTCTGATATCCTTGTGTAATAGTGGATCATAAAACTCTGCTCATGTCGGGCATGGTATACATGCCTGTAATCCTAGCTACTCAGAGTGCTGAGGCAGGAGGATTGCAACAATCCCATCCCATCTCCCCAAAACTAAGACCTAACTGGAAAACAAGCCCTTAGCCTGATTTTTCAAGATACTCACAATATAGGACCTACCCCCAAAATAAGCCCTAGTTAAGATCTTCAGACAGATGGAAGTATTTAGTGCATCTATTGCAACACACAATGGATGTGTTAAATTATAAAATAATAATATTAACATACAACTACATATAAGTGAGTATTAGTGACATTAACACTTAAATTACATGGTAATATAAATTACAGTTAAGTATAAATACCCAAGTGGGCACCTTTGGACGAGAGGTAAATGCCCATGTAAACGGGTAAACAGTTCTGTGTAAATGAACTGGAGAATTATTGCTGATGCCCAGTTGCAGTACAGACATAATGCGTGGCGTGTGCACTTGATACCGAGCCGACACACTCGTGTCTAAAATGAACCTTCATAATTCAATACCTCATGTGTTGTAATGGATGAACTTAATGCACCGGTGTGAAATAAATGTTTTCTGAATTTTGGTGGCTGCATTCTTTCATCTTTTGTGTGAATCATCATCCCTAACTGTCATCTCTTTTGTTACCACCCCTGTCTCGTCAGCCTTCAGTTAACTCCTGATTTCATGGACACTTTGGGAAGCCCAGCCTGCAAGACTTGGGTGAAGAATTCATGGGACACAATCACCAACAGCTGTAGTGAGAATGTACTACAGCAGGCTACATGGACAAGAAGCGTTCGTTTAAGGAGGGCTCTGTTGCTGGACATGAAAGATTAGGGCCCGTGGCTCTACAGGAAATGGAGTTGCAGGGAATTCAGGTCAGAATTTGGGGTTTGGAAAGTTATGATGATGTTCTAGAAGAAGATGAGATGACTGTATTCGAATAAATGTAGATTTTTGTACATGAATAAATGTAGTTTTTTTTTTTTTGGCTGGGCATGGTGGCGCATGCCTGTATCCCAGCACTCAGGAGGCTGAGCCAGGAGAATCACACAAGTTCAAAGCCAGCCTGCACTACATAGCGAGATCCTGTCTCAAAAAACAAACAAAAAAAAATGTAGATTTTCATACATGAATAAATGAAAAAATGTAGATTGTTGTATGTGAAAACATAACATCCCCTGTAAATAAGCCCTATCGTGTCTTTGGAGTCATAGGATTCCTTCGAGGGAGGGGACTGACTTTTTGGAAATACAGTGGACCCTCAAGTTATGACCAGCCTGACATACGAACAACTTGGATTAACTAGGTTCATGGAAGATTCATCTGCCTCTTGTTATCTATAGCGCATACCCACATAAACATACAGATCTCAGCTGTATTGTCTTACAACCAACTTGAGTTACAACCAGCCCTCGAGAACCGATCGAGTTCGTAAGTCGTGTCCACTGTAAGTGAACTTTTTTTTTTTTGGTACCGGGGATCAAACTCCGGACCTTGCGCTTGTGGGGCAGGTGGCGGAACCACTGAGCTAAGTCCCCGGCCCTGTAACTGAACTTTTATGAAGAGACTGCAAAATAAATACAAGGCACAGGGATGTGGGAGATCGAGATGGGCACCTTTGACATAACAGCCCTAGTGCCTCCTGGTTCCCATCTGCCCTCCCCTGGGCGGCACCTCTGGGCAGCCTGTCCTGTCCCTGCCAAGCTGGGGACCAAGGGAGCCTGAGGCCAGGCCCCAGGCCTGCCACCTCCATTGGCTTCCTTCCTCTGTGTCCCAGTATAGACACCAGGACAGTTGATGGAGGAGTCAAGGAGCTGAGGAGTATCACCAGGCGTTTATAAAAAGGGAGCCCGGCCGCGGTCCTCCCAGCGCCATGTCGGCGCAAACATCAGCCGCCAGAGGGCGCCGCAGACCTGGCAGAGGCAGGGCAGGACCTGGCCTTTCAATATAGAATCCACATACATATAATACATGCAATAATACAGTTCTATGTTGTTTTCGTGGGTTTTTTGTTTTGGTTTGGTTTTTGGTTTTTGTTTTGGCTAGGGATCGAACCCAGGCCTAGTACACACAGTACTCTACTGAGCTGCACCCCCAGACTGTATTTTTGTTTGTTGTTACTGTTGTTTCTAGAAGGGGTGTGGCTATGTTGCCCAGCCAGGCTAGCTTTGAACTCCTAGGCTCCAGTGATCCTCCTGCCTCAGCCTCCAGAATAGCTGGGACTCCAGGTTCAGGCATGGCACCTGGTTGGTATACTGCATTTTAAAAGATGACAACGATGTGTTTCAAGATGTGTAGGTTGGATGAATTCCAATTTGCTTCACTCTGTATCAGGATGAGATAACCGAAAGGGAAGCCAAACCATACTATTTGCTTTTGCAGAGAGGAAGTTATTTGACATTGGCATCTGACAACATGACAAGCCCTTCTGGAGGGTTGGGAGACAAGAAGACATTAGAGAGATGGCTTGAAGATGAAGGCATCTCTGACCTAGCATTGCCCGGGTGCTGTCCTATTTGGCCTTGCACTGGTTCAGCTATCCCTTGGGGCATCTCAGTACATTTTAGAGTTTTCCAGAAAAGCACCCTCATCACTGTCCAGGGATGCAGTTAAAGCTCATTTTCTGTCTTATATGAAAGCAGCTGATGACTTAAAGCATAAAAGTCAAGAAATCAATGAAATTCAGGAAAAAGATCAAATAGCTTTGGAAGGGACACAAGAGGACAGATTTGACCATTTTGGGGCCAGCAACCAGAAACTCCTGCAATTTCCGCAGAAGAAAGTGGATTTTGTGATCTCCCTTTTAGAAGACATCAGACAATGACTGAATGGCCTTTCATTCAGAAGCTGTTCTGTCCCATGGCTGCACGGACACCCCGGGACCTTAGGAGATCTTCTCAAAGAAGCTCATCCTTCTGCAGTTGCTCCTGAAGTTGGGGAAAGGAACCAAGCGATGATTCATGGAATTGAGCCAATGTTGGAAACACCTCTGCCGTGGCGGAGTGAACCTCTGAGCTACCCAGAGAATGTTCTTAGCACCATCGCCAGGCAACACACCAAGGACCTGGGGGACACCCTGACACAGGGCTCAGCAGAGCAGGGCACTTCACCCCGTCGGGCCTGGTGGGGGCAACCTGACCAGGGACGCTGTGATTCCAGTCACCTAAGGCCCCCGGGCTGGCCTCATTCTGCATCACCACGGCCATCATTAAACCCCAACTGTAGACTTCACAGGGCCACTGCAAGCCTTCTGTCTTCCTGTAAAATATAATGAAGTCGAAACCTTCAGCCTAAGAAGAAAATGGAAACATGTGCCACTCAGTCTGTATTTCTGATTAACAAATAGACAGGGGTATCTCCCAAGGTGATCATGGTTGAACCTTAGCTTGGGAGAGTGGAAACACTGCTTCTAATTTTCAGGCAAATTCGACTGAAGAAAGTAAAAGAGAAATTCTCTTATCAATAACTTGCAGCAACTTTTTGCAAATGATCAAATTATAGTCAACTCATCTCAATGAAAATTTCCTACAATTATAGTCTGTTGGTATCCAAACAATCTTGACAATGAACAGTGAGAAATTTTCAAATAGAGCTTGTAATAAAAATTAAATAAAATAGAAAGTATCAGACTATGCTGCGAGTAGTGAAGTTTTATTTCCAATGATATGCACACACGTAATGTCATGTTACATGTTACATAAAATAGATCTCTCCTTATATACTATGTCACATAATGCCTGGCTCAAGTGTGTAATGCTTATACACGAAACCCCTGTTTCTTTTCTAAGTGTTACATAACCACTTACAATGGATTCCACACCCTCTTATGGTGGCTGCTGACCGCTCCCCGTGGCCAGGGGATCTAGTGGAGCTTACTGGAAGCCTATTCTCTCCTCAGCTGGCTCTCAGCCAGTCTAGGCCACTTCCAGGCACAGGTGCCACCCAGCAGGGACAGACACAGTTGACAAGGCCGCCCAAGAGATGGGAAGGGCAGAGCCCTGTGAGGCTCTGTGAGCAGGTTCCTGTTCTTCACAGCCTGAGTCACTCAGGAGAGAAGTCTGGGCTCATCCCACTTCCCCTTCCCAATGACAGGAAGGGACAGAGAAGTTCCTGTCTGTGCATCTGTCCCACCAATGGGATGTGAGCCCCATGAGATGGGGGCTGGGCTGTCTCTGTCCCCAGCATGGTGTAGAACGGGGCTCTGTACACAGTGAATTCAACAAAATTTCTCAAATGACAGGATAAATGAAGGACATTTTTTCTGAGCTTAACAGTGATCTTTAAAATATGAACAAAGAATGCATAAACCAGAAGACAGCCAGCTTTATTGCAAACTTACTCTACCTCCTCCTGCCACATTACAAAATAGAAAAAGGGAAGGAACCCAGAACCACGAAGCATTCTCTAGCATCAAGCATTTTGAGAAAGAGTCCTGTCCACTTCCACCCCCCAATCCCACTCCCCCTCAGCACTGCCACAGCAGCCCAAGCTGCCCCAGGACTGGCCACCTGCCAGCATGAGTCAGCTTGCATCTGAAGGCTCTGGGGAGTGAGGGCAGCACCCCAGGCAGAGACCGCCCACAGGAGCTGGGGTTTGGGCCTAGGTTGCCTGTCTTCACATCTCACCTCTGCCTCGGGTGACCTGGAGCAGGTGACTTCCCCTCTCTGCCTCACTTTCCTCACCAGCGACAGGGAAGATCTATTGTGGCCATTATGGAAAGCACTTAGAACAGTGCAGGCTACCTGGCCAGAGCTCAGAGCCCCTGATCTAAGGTGATGAGAGTTTACCGGTATGGAGGAGAAAGCTACCTCCCCCAAGTAACCATGGAATCCAGGCACTGAGCCTCTCTGGCTCTGGCCCTGTCACCCCTTTGTGCAGTGGCATCTGTCTCCTGCCTTCATCACTTCACCCACTTGAGTCAATCCCAATTTTAAGAACACTTCCACCAGGACCCACCAGCCTCTCCCCCTTTTCTAAAAGGAATGAAGATGCTGCCTAGGAAGTCTGGCTTCTTGCTTTCCTGTTTGGTGGGTCTTGTGTCCCAGTGGTGTTTAGTGCCCTGGCGAAGCTAGGGGAGAAAGGAAAATCCTGTCCCGCCCACCTTCACCTGCAGCTTCATGGGAATGGGCCCAGAGCAGTGTTCTCACCAAATCTGAGACCTGGGGCTGCTCTGATAGGGCCAGCAGGTGCCCCACTCCCGGTGCCTTGGGGGCCATGAGGTTGGTAGGAGTCCTATGCTCCTGAGGTGAGAAATGTAACCTGAGAAGCCACACAGGGACAACAGGGTTCCACAGAACCAGCTGAAAGAGGAGGGATGGTCCTCTGATGGCAGGGCCACCAGGAAAAGTAGCAATGATCAAGTACACGGGAGCAGGGTGTCGTGATGACAAGGGGACATCACAGGCTATCTCTTGCCTGGAGAGCACAGCAGTCCTGCTGGCCAGGGCCTTCTAGGTCTCGGCTTTGGGTGGGAGGTGAGCATTGTGGGGGTGTGGAGGAGTCAGGGGTCGGAGGGGCTGTCAGGCGCATCCCCTGCTGGATTTGTCCCCGGGGAAGGTACCCAGTAGAAGGTGAACAAATGTCAAGTGCCATCCAGATCCTGGTTGTTTCCCCTGGGCCAGTGCAGGCAGGGGGTTCAGGGAGGAGGCCAAGTCGGGGCCACGTGGGGCCACAACCAAGTCCAGGCCTTTGCACCCCCTATTTCTTGGAGGAAGACGCTGCGTGGCACGCGGGCGGCGGGTCAGGGGCGCAGAGCTGCGCGCGCACCTCCTGCAGCTCGGCGCGCAGCTCCTCCAGGGCGCTCTGAGACGACGCCGCTTGCACCTGCGCCTGCAGCGCCTCGAGCGCCAGTGCCAGGTGGCCCACTTCGTCCCGCAGCGCGTCCCAGGCAGCGCGCTGCTCCTCCTCCTTGTGGCGCTGCTGCGTCTGGTGGCGCCAGTACTCCAGCACCAGGCAGCCCCCGCCCACGATGAAGATGGTGGCTTCGCCCAGCAGCTCGGCGCCCAGCTCAGCGGCCGCCTCCTCGTTGAGCGGCTTGATGACCGTGCCCCGGAAGCCCATGATGCGCATCTTGGTCCGCATCTCCACCCAGTGGTACACTGCGGGGAAGAGAGGGGTCAGGCGCGCTTGCTCGGAAGCCCCAGCCAGTCCCGCCCCCCGCCGGAACCCTGGAGACGCCCCCGAGGTGGGCTGTCACTTTAGACCTGCGCCAGCCTCGCCCAGGGAGGGGGAGTCACTCAGCCGGGGTGACTCCAGAGCTTTATTTAATGTGGAGACGCGGACTTACTACATAGCGCAGGCTGGCCTCGAACTCGAGACCTTCCTGCTTTAGTCTCCCCGGTGCGGGGATTACAAGAGGGAACGACCATTCACCGCTTTCCAGTCCACTTTCTCAAAGCTCCGGAGAGAAACCCGGCTCTGAGGGATGTCCTCAGATTGGGAGGCCAAGAACAGGGAAAGCGCAAAGATTCAGAGGCCAGACGTGTCACCCTCTGCTCCTCAAGTCACCCCACAGCTCAGCCAGGAGGACCCCCTTGCCTGGCACTGTCGCCCCACCCACTTCCCAGGAGACCGACTTCCGATCTTTCCTTATCTTCCCAAACGCAGTGTTGAGGCAGTGGCCGACCAAGGACCTCTGGACTCCAAAAGAGCACGGCTGAGATGTGGGCGTGGCTGCCGTGCTTTTGCAAGTCAGGTGGTTCCAGCCCCTGAAAGGGGAGCTGGGCTGTCTCCACCGAGTCCCGGCACACGCGGGGAGGGGTCCAGAGCTGAGGGGCTGCCGCAACAAAGACACACTCCTTTCCCAGCTGGGTATTTAGGGTTAGGTCCTCAGCCCCCGGGTCTGTAGAACCAAGGTAGAATTGATGCTGACCCTGCCTCTCCCCAGAAGTAATGCACATTCATCCAAGGGAACAGGAAATGTAGGGGCCAAGTGCTCTGGAGGTTCATTCCCAACATATTTTATATTTTTTCCCTTTTCTTTTTAAAAGTCTATGGTGCACAGGCTGGTCTCCAACTCCTGGGCTCAGGCAATCTTTCTACTTCAGCCTCCTGAGTAGCTGGAATACAGGTACATGCCTGGCTTTCGTGTTTACTTTTGATGTTTAGTAATTATTCATGAAAATGTATAACATATGAACGGTTTAAATTGTGCACTAGTCATAATTTTAAAATTAACTCAATCCAGATGAAAATACTTTAGCATTCCGAACTTTTTTTAGTCACAAGAAATTATAAGGTAAATTTCTGCACAGTTTGGTTGCTAATATATGATTCATTAGATGAAGTCTGTGGGGACTACAAATACAAAAGTTTGAGGACAAAAGAAAACTGTAAAATTTCCAATTATAAAAGAAAAGCTTGTTCTTTATTTTGGTTTGGTTTGGCATGGTTTGGTTTTTTGAGACACAGGCTCAATATGTAGCCCGGGCTGGCCTCGAACTCAAAGTGATCCTCTTGCCTCAGCCTCCAGAGTGCTGGGATTACAGGCGTGCGCCACCACGTCCGGCTTAAGCTTGTAGTTTATTTCATTTGTAAACTGGACATTGTTGGGCACCAAATCACTGGAGTCTGTTGGATTGCCACTGATTCATTCAAAGGAAGGCTGAAGCAGCTCCATTTGAAAAAGCCAATATTCATAACCACGACTGTATCCTTTACAACAACTTAAACTTATGAAGAGAAGTTTTCACTGCAAATGCACTAGACAGAGGCTGTGTACAGTTCCAAGGTCCTCACGGGGGTGGGGTGACAGGAGTGACTGACAACTGCCCAGGAGCAAGAGTCTTCTCAGGGCCCTGCTGGTCAATGTCACCTGCAGCAGTCACTTTCAGCTGGCAGTTGCTTAGGCCCTGGTGTTGTAGGGTTTCAGGGGACACCTCCCACCCTGAGGTTTCAGCCTCAGGCCGACCTGGCATCCACCTGGGGCGATGACAGCCCACCCTGAACTGCATCTACTGAGCAGGGAGGTCAGCATCTGCCCAGTCCTGTGGTGGAGGCCCAGAGCTGGGCCTAGAACTGTCACCCCTGCTTCCGGTCAGGAACACCCAGCGTGGCAAAGGGAGGCAGCGCTGAGAGTGGTTGGGCTTGAGGAGGGAAGCAGCTCTCGCCTCACTACCCCGGCAGCGGGTGAAGCTCCTGGGAAGGGCAGGCTTCAGCCCCAAACACCACCTCCCGAGCTCTTTCTCCACGTCTCGCCATCCGCCACAGGACATCCTGGCATAGAGGCCCTGGCCAGATGCCAGTGCCATGCTCTTCGATATGCTGGCCTCTTGAACTGTGAGCCAAGTAAATTTCTGTTCATTACAAATTGCCCAGTGTGTAGTTTTTGTGTAGTTTATTTTTTGAGTCAAGGCCTCGCTATATAGTTCCAGCTAGCTTTCACCCTGTTATGAAACTCAGGCCATCCTTGAATTTGAGATCCTTCTGCCTCAGCAGCCTGAGTGCTGAGATTACAGGCACATACCACTACGCCTGGCTCTCTGTGGAGTTTTGTTAAAGGAATACAAAAACGGACGAAGATAATCCCAGACAGCTCTCAGATACCTCACAATGAAGGTCCAAGTCTGAATCTAGCTCTGTCCCCGGACTTGCTCCTCCAGCTGGGCCCACCCGGTCCCCAGGCCAGACCCAGGTCTCCCCCAGTTGTTCCCCTGGCCCCAAGGTCTCTCAGCAACATCTGGTCCATTCTGCCTCTTGAACAACTCTCTAAAAACCCCTTCCACTGTCCTGGTAACGATTCTGTCCCAGCTCTGACCAATGTCCCATCCCTGAGCTCCTGAAAGAGAAATACAACCTATATATCCCCTTCAATCAGGAAGGCTGGCTCTCCAGTAACCTGTCTGTAGTCTGTCTCCCCCATAGTGTGAGACCCAAGGCTGCAGGGCCCAGCACTGTCATGGTCACTGCTGTGTCCCCAGCACTGAACACCACAAGGTCAGGCCCACCAATGAAACGCACTACATCGTTGCTTCAAGTGTAAATGGGTCCCATCCCAGCCCCAGGCCCTGCAAGTGTCCTCCACACTCAGAACTGGCTGAAAAATTAAAAAACAAAACAAATCTGTTTGCTGATAATAGTAACAAAGTACTGAAAGTATAAATGTAAAGTCACACACACACACCCCATCCAGCCCTCACTGTGGCCCCAGTCTGCCTTCAGCACCCTGACATCCGTCATAAGTACACCCCGCTCGGCTTCTACCTCATGGAGCTCACGGCCACCCGGATTCACAGCCATTTCCTCTGGCCCCCCAGCCTTACTCTAAATGAGGATCTCTCGCCCGCCCGGGCAGCCTTCCTTCCTCTGCCCACCATGACACAGGTGCTCCGCGCATGCTCTACTCTTGGATGTGTTTTCCGGCCCTCGGCTCGGCTCCCGAGGTGGACAGGAAGGAACCTCGCAGCTCCCCCCACCAGTCGGTGGGCCCGATCCCCGCCCACGTTATCCGGATTGACCACGCGGGCTATTTGCTGCCCATAATGAGGCCCCTCACAGGATGAGTCAGGAAAATGTAAATAAACACCACAGGCCACAGGAAACCACTCCAGTGCAGGGAGACGGCGTAGAGGCCTCTATGGTGCTGTGCAACGCGCGCCTGGGTGAATGCGCTGCCCGGGCAAAAGCCGCCCGCTGTGGGCCTGGACTGTGCCAAACTCCACGGCCTGGAGTCGTTTCCAGGACGCGCACATCTTCCCATTATCGAGTCTCAATCTATCTAGCCAGCAACTTGGCTAAATTCGCCTCCTCTCCTTTCCTTTGTAGTGAAATAGAACCTAAACTTCGGTTTTCACTTCATTCTCGGTGCCGCCGATGGAAGCCAGGGCCCCGAGCACGCTAGGCAAGTGCTGCCCCGCGGAGTTGCACACCAGCGAGGGCGGAGAACTGAGGCAGCCGCTGCCAGGGCCGACACACAGAACCCCGGACTGCTAATTCTGCCCCTCTCCTGGAGTTCAGCTCTCCTCGGCCACGATTCTGATGTCTTGGTGACACACCGTTGGTACTATTTGTCTGCTGCCGTGTATTTTCTGTGCCTTGCTCCCTTTCAGCACCGAGCAGCTTCTGTGCCGTGCAGGCGCCTGTTGGGGCACCTGGTCCCTGCCCATGGGTGGCACCCACGAGTGACGACAAGCCTTCCCACCAGGGGAACCGCATGGCCCGGAGCAAGGAAGCTGCTGACAGGGATGGGTTTCCTCACACAGGCCGTGTGGCTAGGTCACCTGCTGGCGCCTCATTCATGAGTCTGAGCGTGCCAGCTGTGTCCTTCCAGCAGCGGTTCTTCTCCGGGCAGAGCGAAAGGACCCCAGGTGCTGCTGTTATGAGTTTTGTGTGTATTTTATTTTTTAGTCTCTCTCTCCCTTCCTCCCTCGCTCTCTCTCTCTCCCGTCTTTTAAATTTTTTATTTTTTAAGTCACCCAGGCTGAGCTCAAACTTGCAATCCTTCTGCCTCAGCCTCCCAGATTCTGGGATTACAGGTGTGTGCCACTACTATACCTGGCAACTAATATTAATCTTTTCAAAGAATCATTTTATTTTATTGATTTCCTCTACTACTACATACCTGCTCATTCCTACTTGTTTTTCTTTTTTTTCTTTTTTGGTACTGGGGATCGAACTCCGGTCCTTCCGCTTAGGAGGTAGGCAGCGGAACCACTGAGCTAAATCCCCGGCCCCCTACTTGTCTTTCAAGGATGCAGGCAGGTGTTTATTTCTTCAGAAAGCTCTCCCTGGCTTCATTAGATTAGATGCCCCTTTAGGGTCCCTTAGCCCTTTGGGCTCCTGCATCCCTGCCCTGTCCAATCTTGAGTATCACTGGTGACAGCTCAGTCTCCCCCCAGGGCTGTTAGTCTACCCTTCCATTTCATACCTAAATTCCTCTCTGCCTGGACACACTCCTCCATGAGTCTTCCCTCCTTGTCTCAATTCATCTAGATTTCAGCTGCACTACTCCTTTTCCACAAAGCCTTCCTGGAACTCTAGACTGGGTCAGACCCATCCACAGAGTTCCCTAGGCTTCCCTCATCATGACACGGCTTTGGTCTGGGTTGAATCAGTTTTTTTTTTTGGTCCTGGGGATCAAACTTGGGACCTTGCGGTTTTC